TACTTTCGTTGAAAAATAAAGATATATTTTTCTCAATGTGAAACATCATCAAATTGTCGATATGTCCGAGTGGTTAAGGAGACAGACTTGAAATCTGTTGGGCTTCGCCCGCGCAGGTTCGAACCCTGCTGTCGACGGATTCATCTTTTTAGACCGTCGTCATTAAGACGGACATCATAAGTTTTACAATTAAAAATAAATCACAGCAACAACAACCCACAAAAAAAAAATTAGAACAACTCATAAATAACCATGATTTTTTTTTTTTTTTGAATACTAGAAGGTTCTGGACCAAAGTCCGTAATCCCCCAGGTCCGAAGCCACATCATGTAATATTAGTTTCGTTCCACATAAATAACAATGTTGCAAAAATAGAGAATGTAACAGAAACAAACATTATTACATATATTCTTTTGGGCTCACTCCAAGTTTTTTCCTTCGAAGAAATCGTTAAGCATTCGCTCAAGGTCCTCAGTAGTGAACCTTATATACGTCTGTGAGTTCTTACCACTCTCTATCATCGGCCTGAGACAGTGAGACACAACAATATTTTTTCATTTCTTGAAGGACAAGAAACCACAATGTTTTTGAATTAAAAGTGTTTTTGAATTGTATGTACCCGAAATGTTTGAGAAACGATCCGTAGGCAGGTAAAAGAACCTCTGCAATAGCAAGCCTGAGAGATTCACGCATCTCAACGTCCGGAACTAACCATTGGCATTGTCTCTGGTGAAGCTCTTCGAATTGAGAATTAAAAGTCTTGAATTTTTCTTTTACTAATGTTTTTGTTATACTTTTGTTCTTTATCAGACCGCTCTTACTCAACTGAACCGTGATACACTGTAAAATCTACATAAAGAAATGGTTAATCATATAGATTTATAAAGTGTTACTGTCTTAGCGAGCAAAATTTTTCAAACCTTATTCCAAGAAACTGTCTGGTACTGATTTGCGTGTTGTTTTACGATTCTTCCATGTGTTTGAACCCAATCATCACCCAACAAATTATTTGCTTCTTCCCTGTGAACAAATAGTTAGTCTCTTTGAGATAACATGTTATAAGGTTTTGGTTCTGTTTTAGAGAAATTCGAAAGCAGAACCAAACCTTCTAAAATGTCTCACTATGTAATACACATTATTCATTAAGAATAGTTGAGATAATGCTGCATCTTCGTACTGTCTGGATTTACCATCCAGATTGTTCATTAAAGCCCTCATGATACCCGTTAACGCGGATTTCAGCTTGGTATCAGGAAGAAGTTGCCTCAACGTCGATTTGTAACTGTTTCAAGTTCCAGAAACACGTTAAGTCCTGCAAAAATATATCACTCAGAAATGGTTTATGAGAAAAGTACTTACTCGAACAAGTACGTGACGTATCTCTCAACGTAGCTAGTTAGCGCATGTACGGATCCATCCATAACAACGGTTTCAGTCGCATCCATTTCAACAGCGTCTTCGAAATCAACAATAGTTTCTTTCACTGTCTGAGCTAATAGCTTTGTCAGATTCAATGCATCTTCTTTCATCTCGGAACAAGGTTGGCTTCCAAAGATCAACTCAAACTATGCTTCCAAGTTCCAATCAAAGGAAAATAAAATCAGATGAGCTAGCAACACAAACACATAAACTTGGATGCGGTGTATTCAATCAGACATTCCGAATGATTTGTGTTAAAATTACAAATTTTATGTAGTTCAATCATGAATTTTTTGAAGTTTTATAAAATCCAAATGTTACTATAAGAAAAAATCTTCTATTAAATTCCAAATGTCTTATAAAAGTCTAATAAGTATATTCCAAATGTTATTAACCTAGTGATATGTATGAGATAACGATTTTGATATTGATTTACCTCTGGTTGAAGCTCTATCATTATCTCATACATATCTAAGATAACAAACAGTTTTTCCGGCGATCTCCTGCTGATAGCGATTGCATATCCGAAACTAAGAAGCATATCAAAACTAATAGTAGTGATTTCAGCAAAAGACTGATCTCTAAGTGGCTCAACACCATCAAGTATTTGGTTGCAGATTTCCTTTTCCGCAGCAAATAACAGTTTCACCTGTCTCAACGTCAACAAATCAAGAAGGATCTCATTACAATCTATAAAGGTATATATTTATATTATGGTATTTGGAAGTGAGTTTTCGTACAGATATTCGCATGTAATGGATCCAATTCCGCATCTTGGCATCTAAGATGTCCTCCTTCATTCTCTGAACAGCATCTTTGCTATGTCTCTCTACACCTAATTTCTCAAGGCTCTGCTCCAACACTGCCCTACGAGTATCCCTTAAATATTACGAAAAGTAATATATTATTAATAATCATTAATCACTATGAAGGAACTTAAAATGATCTTTATCATATCCAATGAAAGAATGCGTTTCTATTAAAATGTTAGAAGTTAAGTAGAAATTGGACCTGTAAGTTTCGAAAAGTTGTTGCTGATGACCAGCTTTAACCATTTGTTGGGCTAAATCATGAAGCAGAGGCAAAACCATTGGTGGGATGATTGTTGGGACCGTAAAATCATCTTTCTCTAAGCCATTTGATTGTGGATCATAACTCTTTCCGTCACTACTTGCACCGTCTGATGATGGCCGAAGATTGCTTGGGAGACACTCGAAAAGGTGTTTAGGTTCTATTGGCTTGCTAAACAATTATGAAGGAGACAATAAAAAATGTTAAGACTTCTTTTCAAATGAAATTGATACAATCATGATTTACGCCTCAAACACGGTATTATCAATCCAAATGATAACACTGTATTAAGCAAATTTTGTTTGCTTCAACTAAGGACAAGCTATCCAAAGACGAACCTGTAATTTTCCAGAATCTGTTTGAACTTGCAAGCATCATATCCTGTGTTGTTTATATCATCAACCTTTCCATGATGTTCATCTGTGAAATGAATGTTGCTTGCTCCTCTTTCATCAACTTTGATAGATTCATCGTTGGGTTTGTCTTCAACCGCTCTTACCTCTCCTAGGTTTTCGTGAGCGTTAATCTCTGTTGTGGACTCGGTGCATTCCTTGTGGAAGAAGATACCGCATTTAGGACATTCGTATAACTGCTCTTTTTCTTGAAAACATCCAGCGTGATCATCAGTGGAATTTTCTATCGAGAGCTCATGAAGATTAGACATTTTGTGATATGTGTCATCTGCTGGTAATTAAGGACTAGTTTGGTTATATAATGTTCATCAAAGTCATCATGACTTTTCCCTCATTTGACACTATATTTACACGACATTGACTTAGCATGTTAGTATATTTCTTTAATGCCATTTGGACAATACTATAATCTAAAAGAATGAATAGTCACATTTTCTACAACGAATAGAAACTCATTTAGGATCGTAACTATAGATTTAGTTACAACTTACAACATGTACGAACTCATTAATTAATAATGACATATATAAACACTACTAAATGTTTGCAATTTTGTTTTTACAGAATATGTCAATTCTACAACATATATAAAGCTAATTGGCATTATGTTAAATCATGTCTAATGTCCTTCATGACCGTTTCCTCGTTAATTTGAATTCTTCTTAAGTCCTTTCATGACCTTTTTCTCGTTTGAATTCTTCTTAACTTTCCAGACTATAATTTTTATTAACATAAATCATATGCGACTTCTACTATTTATATACATAAAACATTTTAATAAAAGTAATCTGACTTAGCATGTTATACAACTTGAACGAGAGTATACTTTAAAGAAGTTTAACATTTTCTACTGCATGCATAAGATGTATAAATTAAACTCAGGCGGATGCGTAGGCTTAAACTTTGATAGTTAAAAAAAACATCAAAGTTTAATACATATTTATCTCTTTGGCTCACTCCAAGTCTATATAGCCAATTCACTTTTACAGCTTGCTTAGAAAAAACATGATAGCTTCATCAATTTTACAGTTCGAAGAAAAAGAAAAACTAAAAGGAGAAAAAAAAACCTTCAAGAAAAGGAGAGATACAGAAGAACTTATAAATATTAAAAAAGGGGGAAAATGTCATTTAATAGCCGAACATTCAAAGGTCATTTTAACTTCGAACTCTGTAAATGGTCATTTTATACGTGAACAAAAAGTTGACCAGCCATTTAAACCAAAGAAATGTGTTGACCAGGCCAAAACGACACACCGTTAACCCTCGCCAACAGAACCGCTAACACCCGTTAACATCCGTTAACGAGTCTCCGTCTGAGATGAAACGCCGTTGTTTTGTCCTAAACTAAACCCCCAAAATCGAAATTATTTGCAACTTATCGTCTTTATCTCCACCACCTACAGCATCATCAACATCATCGCAGTCTTCATCACCATACACCGCGCAGTCGTCTTCAATGTCAGGGTCAGGATCAATTTCGGGCTCTTCATCATCCTCTTCAACTCTGACTTTCCTTCGTTTTCTTCGTCGACCTAGAGCACGAGCTTCAGCTTCATCTCCTACAACAGACTCTGAAACTACATTCGTTGGAGCTTCCTCTTCTCTACCACAAGACTCTGATACAACATTGGTTTGAGCTTGCATTCCATCTCCGATACCATCTTCTTCGCCTCGCGGTGGTGCTTCAACTCTATCTCTCATAGAACTCTCAGATTCGCCAAGCATTGGAGAGCCCATCCTCAAAATGACTCCTTTGTGTCTAACTATTGGCATTAGGGAAGACGAATTGAGAATTTGGGTTACAGATTAGGGATTTCAATTACGGGTTAGGTTTAGGGATTTGATCTCTCGATTTGGGGATAATTTTGATTTTGGGGGTTTAGTTTAGGATAAAACGACGTTGTTTCATCTCAGACGGAGACTCGTTAACGGATGTTAACGGGTGTTAGTGGTTATGTTGGCGAGGGTTAAAGGTGTGTCGTTTTGGCCTGGTCAACACATTTCTTTGGTTTAAATGGCTGGTCAACTTTTTGTTCACGTATAAAATGGCCATTTACAGAGTTCGAAGTTAAAATGGCCATTTTTTGAAAGTTCGGCTAATAAACGACATTTTTCCCATTAAAAAAGTAATGTTGCAAAAACAAACAGAAGAGAATGTACAACAAAATGGAAACAAAGATTCATACATATTTATCTCTTTGGCTCACTCCAAGTCTTGCCTTCAAAGAACTCGTTAAGCATTCTCTCAAGATCTTCAGGACTGAACCTTATATACTTCTGTGGGTTCTTACCACTCTCTATCATCGGCCTAATACACAACACAAACAGAGAAACAACATTTTTATGTCTTTCTTGATGAGCACGAAACAACTCTGTTTAAAGTGTTTTTGATCGTACCCGAAACGTTTAAGAAACGATCTGAAGGCAGGTAAGAGAACTTCCGCAACAGCAAGCCTGAGAGATTCACGCAACTCGCTGTCCGGAACTGTCCATTGGCATTGTCTTTGGTGAAGCTCTTCAAACTGAGAATTGAAAGTCTTGAATCTGTCTTTTACTGATGCTCTTGATATATTTGAGTTTTCTATCGGACCGCTCCCACTCGACTGAACCGTGAGACACTGCAAAATCTGCAGAAGGAAATACTAATCAGAAAATACTTTGAAAGCATTTTAAAAGCATAAACCTGAAACGATTGAGTAAACCTTTGCCCAAGAAACTCTCTTGTATTGATTAGCGTGTTGTTGTACTATTCTTCGATGTATTTGAACCCAATCATCACCTAATAAATCCTTTGCTTCTGACCTGTGAAAAATGTAAGTCTAGTTCAGGATTATATTTAGGCCTTTTTGGTTCTGTTTAAGAGAGTTGGAGCCGAAGAAGCGGAACTGAACCTCCTGACAGATCTCACTATGTAGTGAACATTGTTCATTAGGAATAGTTGAGTTAATGCTGCATCTTTGTACTGCTTCGATTTTCCATCCAGATTGTTCTGTAATGCGTGCATGATCCTCGTTGTTACCGCTCCCAGCTCGCTATCAGGATCTTTACTGTCAAATTCTTGAAAAAGTAGCCTCAACGTCGATTGGTAACTGTTTCGAAATTCCAAAAACCACTGATTAGTCCAACAAAAATGACAATTTCCGTTGATGTATGTAAAGTTACTTACTCAAACAAGAACTTGACGTAATTTATAACGTAGCTAGTAAGCGGATGTACGGTTCCATCCATAACCGCGGTTTTTGTAGCATCCTTTTCAACTGCCTCTTCAAAATCAGCAAAAGTTTCTTGAGCTGTCTGAGCTAATCGCTTTGTCAGATTCAGCGCTGATTCTTTCATCTCGGCACAAGGTTTGCTTCCAAAGAGCAACTCTATCTATAAATGAAACACAATTAGGTTTGCTAATACACATAATTTCTTTGACGGTGTGAGGCATTTAAACGTTACCTCGGGTTGAAGCTCTCTCATTATTTCATACATATCTAACAGAACAAACAGTTTTTCCGGTGATCTCTTGCTTTTAGCGATAGCCTCCCCAAAACTAAGCAGCACAGCTACACTATTTACAGTGACTTCACCAAAACATTGATCTCTGAGAGACTCAACACCATCGAGTATTTGGTCGCAGATTTTCTTTTCCGCAGCAAATAACAGTTTCACCTGTCTCAAGGCAACAAAAGCAATTGCCGCGTAAATGAAGGAAAAAGTAACGATCTATTGAGGTATTACTGTTTTGTGGAAGAAAGTTTTGTACGGATATTCTCATGTAATGTATCCAGTTCCCAATCTTGGCCTCTAAGACCTCCCATTGCATTCTCTGAACATCATCTTTGCTAAGCCTCTCCACACCTAATTTCCGCAAACTCTGTTCCAACACCGCAGCTCGAGTATCCCTAATAAAGTACCAAAGCCAATATGGATCAGCACAAAACTTATGAATTCACCAAGAGAGGCTAGCCTAAAGAAACATAGACATAGCTGTTTTTCTCTCCAAATCCATTTGAAATGCTCTTTGTGAATAAAACTCTAGGTGAGACTTTTATTCGATTGGAAAAAGAGTACATATATTGATATCAGAGGAACTAACCTTATATTAATGTAAAACTGAGACGAGAATGAAACAAATTAAGGAAAAGTTAGACCTGTAAGATTTGAAAAGTTGTTGCTGATGACCAGCTTGAACCATCTGTTGGGCCAAGTCATGAAGCAGAGGCAGAACCCTTGGAGGAATGACAGTTGGGACAGTAAAAATAGCGTTTTCTAAGCTCTTGTGGTGCGGATCATGACTCTTTCCACCACCACCTTCGCCTTCTGATGACGGTCGAAGATTACTTGGAAGACATTCGAAAAGGCGATCAGGTTCCATTGGCTTACTAAAATATTGAAAGAAAAAATCAAGTGTTAGACCAAATCCTTGCACTAGCTCTTGAGTAAATCTGTATAACCGAAAGACGAACCTGTAGTTTTGCAGTATCTGTCTGAACTCATCTTCTAGCTTTGATAGAGCCTTAGAGAGTAAACCGTGAGCATGACTAATAACTCCACTAGCACTTTTAAACATCTTGTTGTTGCTGAAGAATTTGATAGTGCCTCTAAGTTGATCAATTGCTTCCAGATAGCTTTCAAGATCCTCATGTGGTCCTCTCAATATTTTAGCTTCAGCCTGACAAACAAAAATTGATCACTCATTATTCAGCCTAATCGTTAATTCTGCCACACACACGCAAGAAAAAAAAATGATTATAGACTTCACTGGAGACAAAAACTCTCCTGCAAAATATTCATAGTCACATATTAAACATCTTCAATCCAAAAACCCTTCTGGAAACCTTGAGAAGTAGAATGATTGCTTCAATAACGAACATCAAATTATCGATAGATACATACATAGAGCGTAAACCGTAAACTAGGTCTGATCCTAAGAGCAGAGTACTTGATATCTAACTGGACTGTGTCCTAACTCCTAAGGTTCACAGCGTCAGAAAGCAGACATTTGCTAATTTGCTCACATGATACATTCACTACAATTGTTTCAGTTGTAACTTCAACTAGAGAACATATGTTTACATTTATCATCTTAAGAACCCGTAACTTGAGGAAACCTCAGGGGAACAGAATGATAACTTGAAAGACAAGGAAACCAAAGGAGAATCGTGTAGAGTGTAAAGAGAAGACCAAACCTTTCTAGAGATATCAAATTGATCCAATATAACCTCAGCTGCTTTCAATGCCTTGTCAATATTCTCATGAGCTCTCCTTATAGAATGTGTTCTTATCTACACAAACAAAATCACACGCAAATGCCAAAAATTCAAACCAAATCAGCGAAGAATCCGGTGATATTTCCTCCGAATCCAGAATCTTATTTCGATTTCAACAGAGATAGATCTCAGATTCCACAAACCTAGAAAAATTTCAAGAGACCCTAAAAAAAACAAAACAGAGAGATGAAAAAGGGACCTGTGTGGGACGCATGGCGGTTTCAAGAGCCGAGAGACGATGATCGAAAGAACCTAGGATTCCGACCATGTTATCGGTGATGGTTTGGCTCTTATGTAGAGACTCCTTCATCAAGCCTGCTCGCTCGGTTAGGGCTTCCATGGCTTGAGCCACCCCCATTTTCTTGAAATTTTCTTGATTTGGATCGATGAACAAAGAAGAGAATTGTTTTGGTTGCGTGAGAATTCAGAAAATTTTGGGGGGATTGGAAAAATGTAAATGTGTTTGTTGTTGTAGTTAGAGACGCTCCTCTACGATTTGTGAGAGACGATACAATTAAAAAGTTTCATGCGATTTTCCTTGGAGAGACCCCACATAAGCGATAGATTCGCTACTTTCATCTTTTTAGGTTGATTTTGTGGGTCCCCACTTGTTTTTATCAATTGGGAAAAAAATATTATGAGCTTTTATTAAAAAGACTGTAAGATTATTTGGTTTAGTTTTACTTATTAGTATAGAGACTAGAGAGATAGACTCAGTTATGCTTTATTCAAAATGTTCAAGGTTAGATAAATCTATTCCACATTATTTCATGTGTATTCAGTTTCACCTAGGGCTGATTATCCCGATATTCTGTTCGAGTTCGGTCCATTTTTTCGGGTCTTAGTTTTGGATATACGGGTCTAACTACCATTCGGGTATTATAGAATTTTGGTTCTGATTTGGTTTAGCACCCTCTCGGTTCGGATATTTAAACCAAAAATAAATTTGGATTCTCGTTCAGTTAGTTTTTACCCGAACCTCCCCGAAAGTATCCAAAATATACACCTGAAAAGAATAAAACAATGGTTATATTCCATGTTTTAAAAATCGCTAGGCGTTAGTCGGGCGTTCGGAGTGGGTCTAGCGCCTAGCAAGAAAATGAGAGATTAAGCGGAGATTCGTTTTAGGATTATTTGTAATAATTATTAAAAATAATATATATATATATATATATATATATATATATGAAATTAAATATATGTATAGTTTTATCATGTTGATAAAAAGACACCAACTAAAATACAACCAATTTATCAATGAGCCTGAAAAAATAAAGTAAGCCCAATAGAGTTGTGGTCCAAGTGGATGGAAGCAATAGTGGAAAGTTTCAATAATACACGTGTCGTCCTTAGCAATAATTATTTTTTGATAAATCCTATCGGCTGATTCGGTCAGCCCCAGTAGAAATGTACCGAAGTATTTTAGAGTGGACTTCTTCCCGAAGGGCCACCACACTGTCTGTCCCGAGTTTATAATGTTTTCCGACTAGTGCCAGGGAGTAGACAGATCGTCTGTTACACATATATGTTTTTTGTTTCCAGCGTATATCGAATCTGAGTTAGTTCCTTCAAACTTTTCTCCAATTCTCAATTACCACTTGACCACAACTATTCTGAACAATAATTGTGAAGGAAATATACACGAGGGCCACTTGTAAACTCACTTATAAAATATGCATGTTCCACTTTATTTCGTCCTAATGAGCTAAAGTTAAAATTAAGGGCCGCTCACGTGTACGTGGGCTAAGAATTAAGGCCCAATTTTTTTAAAATTTATCGGTTATCAAACCGATTTTATCATTAAGCGGCCGTATAATCGGATACCGCCTAATTTGTCTGATTTGAGTAAAATCATAGTGGATGACTTCTGCCGAGCGATTTTCCAGACGGCTAGGCGGCCGCGTTTTTGAACAGGGGTTATATTTAGAGGAAATTTGGTTAAATTGTGACAAATATAAATTTTGAAAAATCATATTAAATGTGCATCAATTAATTTGGTGATTGGTTTATTCATAGAATACATAATATTTTTTTGTAAATCATTAAAGTTTTTAATTAACCGATATTTGATCAATCAGATGTAGAATATTTATTGTTTATGTAAGAAAATTTTATTTTCTAATTATGTGATTATATAGTGGTCCGCTTTCTATCGCAATTGTTATTCCATGATATATATTTGATAACCTAAAGGAATTTTTCATTTGTGCATAAGTGATAGGGACAAAAAGATAAGTGGTAAAAATATGAGTTTGTGTGACAAGTGTCAGTAGCATGTGTGATAAATATCGCACGCATGCATGACAAGTGGCAGTGAAAACATGTTATCTATGCCATTTAAAGGCTAATGTTTTACACTTGTCGCAAATGGTTTATCGTCTCTATTTTGATAGACGGTTGAGATTAATCCAAAAAAATCTGTATGAAACATAGATTATCTCTTCACCTATAAATATGTGAACTTAATCAATCGTGAAGACAACATAAATCGTGAAAAGTTTACATAGATATGTGGAGAGAAACCTAAATTCCCACCTAAAAAATCAACCATTCATCTTTTATCTAAGAAACCGTTTAGCTACGGTGAATAGAGGTATTCTTCTAATCTTTTTTATATGTGTATTATGTAGTTAATGTAAATGTTTAAATCTGAAGCTCGAATTCAATCTTGTCCTCTTGGATCTCGAGCCTAGACGAATTTCGGTGGTGGATTTTCGTCCTCTAGTCTCTTGTCCTCTGGATTGTTCTTGAATCGTTTCTTATTTCACAAAGAGGTTGTTTTTTCAAAAACACTTCTTAGTCTTGATTCTCTCTAAGAGCTTATGTTTTGATTTTGTGACTCACACCATCATTGTCGTTTTTTCGTCTCTCTGTCACGGTTTTCGTTGAACTCCATCCCATAAGTTTGTTTCATTGACGTATGACATGTATTCCTTTTTTTTTGGTATGTGCATATCTTTTACATACAAAAAAAAAAAAAAAAAAAAAAATCTTTGAAGTACATCTCCCATGCCTAGATGATGCACATGCGTGAATAAATCTAGTTTATGGATGATTTTGCTCTCGCCAAGAATATTGCTGTAAGATATCAAAAACTTGGGAATTTCAGAGGTTTTTCTAAACCATGGGAACAACGATGGATATCTAAAAGTTGATAGAAGGTTTTCTTTTAATACAAGACCCTTTGGTATTTTTCATAATGAATCTTACCAAACCATAAAAAAATCTCAAAAAAAACCTCGTCTCAAATCTCCAAAAAATTCATAGTCGATTTTATTTGTACGGCCTAATTTATGTATAGAGGATTACAGAAACTAATTAAGGATAATTCTCTAATAAACAAATACTATCCCCTATGATGTATTGAGATTGTTACATAAAAATGGATACCCTTTCTGATAGTGGAAAACAAAATTTACTCTCATACCAAAAATAAATCATCTATTTAGGTAAAGAATCATATTTATATTTTAAATCAACAAAATATCTTTTAGGATACACATCATCATCATTATCGATCATATTACATCATATATGTAAGAATAGAGAGATGAATTTTTAGAGTCTCTACGCTCAGAATCAAAGTTTGTATGGGTAATCTCTATCTTCGTCTTCTTCTTTAATTTTTCTTTCAATACGAGAGAGTGGTTTTGATTTTCCGATCGTAGATTTCATCATAAAAATTGTAGTTGATAGAAATGAAATTTTTTTGGTCCTTTAATTTTCGGCTGATTTTTTTTACCATCTAATTTTTTTTTTAAGATTGTAATTCGTTTTTATCAAGAAATGAATTTGCTGATGTATTGAATTGATACATATTGAGGATCCAGATCCTTGAATATGATCAAAATAATATCCATATTAGTTTACGATATATTTATAATAGAATTGTTCATCTTTTAGGGGAATTACTTAATTCCATGATCTAATTTTATTTGCTCCAATCGTTAATTGTTTTAATTGAAAAACGCTGCAGTAGTAGTACGGTCACGGCGTAAACGGTTGGCAACAACATTAGCAACGATAGATTCTTTTTCACCCTAATCGTTAATCTTTTTTTTTTGCAGTTGAAGAAAAGAGAGCTTTGACGTAAATTTCATCCCTGAGAATGGCAGACACTGATGTGGATGATGATTATGATGGTATGTGTTTTTCAACAAGATATTTTATGAATATCGTTTAGATTAATTCATCTTTGATTTAGCAAATGCATCCATCCAAAAGAAAAGTGAAAACGGTTTAGAAATGTGTTAAGAGTTTTTTTTTTTATAATCTGTTTGTGTTGAAATAGTTCAGTTTTGTCTAGCATTTACCATGTATAGTAGTTCTAGAAAGATGTAATTTTATAGTATCCTTCTTCTTTGTTTGGTTTTTTGTGCTTTAGTAATATAATGCTGTTTTTTCAGCTGTTTGATGTAAAATTTATTATTTTTCTCAGGCCTTAAACCTTCTGAATTATTTGGGAAACATACATGGAAGATTGAGAAATTTTCACAAGTCGGCAAAAGGGAGTTCCGTAGCAATTGGTTTGAAGCTGGCGGATACAATTGGTACATGGCATATCTTTCTCATCCTTATACTTTGTCTCACAATTATAAAAAACTCTGGAAGTTGTTTTTAAGGCCGTGTTTTGTTACATTTATCTTCAATGTGTCAGGTATATTTTAATTTATCCAGAAGGATGTGATGTTAGCAATTATCTCTCATTATTTCTCTGTGTTGCAAACTATGATAAACTTCTTCCAGGTTTGTATTTTTGTCCACTGGTCTGCTTGGTCTTTTCTTTCTTTCTCGGGATATACTTGGTGATGTAGGTTCTTTTGGTATCTTGGATACCAGGCTGGAGTCAGTTCGCTCAGTTTACTATATCTGTGGTGCATAAAGATCCAAAGAAGTCTAAGTCTGCAGGTGATTTTTTTACTCTTAAGTTTGCTTGCTTCCATTTCATTATGCAGACAACTGAATTCACCTCTTGCAGATACGTTGCACCGGTTTTGGAAGAAAGAACATGATTGGGGATGGAAAAAGTTTATGGAGTTACCCAAGTTACATGATGGGTTCATAGATGATTTTGGCTCTCTTACAATTGAGGCTCATGTTCAGGTGATCAGGTAATGCAACAAGACTGACTCTATGTTAAAGCTATGAGTAAAAAATTACTACATGCACCGTCCATGTTTCCATGCTACCATTCACTTACAAGTTACAGCTCCAAATGTTCATATGCTCTCCCAATTAAACACATATGTAAGATTATTTTCTCCGGCCATATAATTGGTCCTTGCAGAGACAGGGTGGACCGACCTTTTCGCTGCCTTGATTATGATTACAAGAAAGAGCTTGTCAGGGTGTATTTGCCAAATGTAGAGCAAATTTTCCGACGTTTTGTGGAGGAGAGAATAAGCAAGCTTGAGAAGTTGATAGAGGACAAGGCCAAATGGACAAGGTATTTCACATTTGCAGCTTAATATACTGTCTTCCAACCATGTCTCTGGAGTCCAAAAATAAATTTGCATTCTTGGTTGCAGCTTTGGTGATTTCTGGTTAGGGATGGACCAAAACTCTAGGCAACGGATGTCTATAGAGAAAATGGACGTAATCCTAAAAGGAGTTGTAAAACACTTTTTCATAGAAAAGGAAGTTTCATCTCCTTTGGTGATGGATTTC